GAGACACTTATGTCTATTTTTGGTCATACATTGTCTATTCTCGACCAATACCACCTAAAATCGTCGTCATTAGCGGGCGCGACGTCGCACGCGACGCCCACTGGCGCGGCGAATTACGATTCTCTTGTCACATACCCGATCGCGAATGGTCAACGCCGTATACGTGAAGCAAGCGAAGCTCGCGATCGCCGCCAACCGAGCGCAATCGGCGCGAACTGATCGCGAAGTATGACAGTCGAGGGGACCACAGCGATGAACAGTAGTGCCTGTGCGCCCGCTCCCCTAAGCAAGGCTCCAGTTGAGGATCTAGGGACACTTGAAATCATTCCCTTCAGTCGCGTCAGTTTTCTGTTTTTCTCTACTGTCTCACGTTGAGGTTACCACTGTGACATTAAAAGTCGTCCAGGCCTTCCGCGCTAGACCCCCTCCAAAAGTCTTAGTTGTCACGCAACCCTTAGTGGGGACGATGTCCCTGACCGCCTGCGCTCTGAGCCTAAGCCTTGGTTAGGAGGAGAAACGCAGTGGTGCTGCCGCGTGTCCCCGCTCAACTACGGCAGCACCTAAAAGATTTCATGACACAGCAATTCACAAAATACCTCAAGGACAGCTCCCTGGGAGAGATTGAGAAGATTTGATTTTTACCGACCCTCCCTCCCAACAACGAACAAATACACTCTCCCCCTTTACAACGTCGCTGAGACAAGGAAAACCAACTATCAAAAAAAATTTCCCAGCTCAAATACGACCCCCCACTCCCAGCGACCAGGTATGTACGACAACCCCACTGTTGCGGAATCTCCAACAACGATGTGCCCTGCTCTGGATACAGGCCACATCATTGGTTGGTGGATTTTAGTCGAGTCCCGGCCGGGAAGGGGGGTGGGTCGTACCACCCCCTCTTTTTTGGACAAAGGGCCGGAAGGGGAGGGGGATGTACGGCCTCCACCTCTGTCCCACCTCATCGAATCGACTGTCGAGCGCCGGGGCAGGGGCGAGCGGCGTAAAAGCACATGTGAACAGGAAAAGGCCTGAGCACAATACGACCCCCCCCCTTCTACCATTATCTCAGATTCTACCAACTTCTCTCCGCCACTTTTTCCAAAAGTGCCTAAGAACTACTTTTTCTCAAAAATCTTAAAAATTTCACTGTCGAGGTAGTATATAGAACACATGAAACAGGAAAATCACGAAAAGTCAACCACCACTCCACTCTGCGAAAGCGACAAGTAAATGCGACCCCTCCCCTTCCAAACAATGGAGCAATACGACCCGCCCCCCCTTTTACAACGTGAAGCGAGAAAAGTCAACTATCAGAACACATTCCTCTAAGCCCAAACACGCCCCCCCCTCTCTTGACGGTCAAACATGACGCCCTCTCTGCGGCCAAATATGACCCGCCGCCCTGATCTTCTCTGGATTTCCCAACAACGATGCCCTGCTAGCGGATCAGAGCGAGGATTATAATACTCCTCTTCATTACGGACTGTCGGGGCGGGTCAGTGCGGCTGCGTTTTCCGCGGTTCCAAAGTCTTTCTGCACCAGTTGTTGAAGCGATCAAATGACATAACAGCATTATATCCTTCGTATTACTCGTTTTCTACCACTTTTGTCGCATACGCCTTCAAAGCAAAAAGGCCTCGAGAAACGCCGTCAAACAACAGTGCGATTCCGTCTGGCCGATACGCCCCGACAGTCCCTAATGATGAGGAATGTAGCCTACGTGAAACCGAAAAAGGCACGAGAAGTCAACAACCCCTCTCAGAGTCTCAGAGGGCAAATGCGACCCCTCCCTCTCTCCCACAACGAGCGAACGACACTCTCCCATTTGATAGCGTCCATGAAGAAAAATTATATAACTATTTAACAAGTTTTCCTCAGACCAATACGGCCCCCCTTCTGCTCTGGATTTCCCAACGATGACGTGCCCTGCTTCCAAGTGTCCCCCCTAATTAGCTGCATCGTGAATGATAGTGACTGTAGTCGGCATTCTCATAAGTGAATACCAGACTATGCCGGTGTAGGTGTGAGCGTTTACACGTGCTTATGTTTTTCTCAAGCTCCGCATATCACCCAGTCGTGCGAACTCACAACGCAGGATTCTCCGAGACATTCCTTTAGTCCATGATTACTTCGCCGATAATCATAGCCGATTTCCAGATTCATACACTTACGACCGGACCCAGATTGATTAAAAAACCATACAATGGGACAAGCTCGTCTGCTGTTTCTTGTCGCTACAATTAAACGCACAATCTCCCCTGATAACTGGTCAGGCTCCTTCTCCAAGCGGCTTGCTTGGTCAGTGGACCAAAACTTCGCTCCGAGGCTGCCATATTGTTTCAAGGTATCACTTTCAAAGGTTTACCTAGGTAGTGAAAGCTTTGCACTACTCCGAGTTGACATGCAGGTTTTTTCGTTTCATTTGATGACTCTGCCTCTTCTTCATGTTCTTTTGCCCTCATTATGGCGCTGTTAGGCTTGGGGGAGGACATTATTGCACTTTCGCTAGTTCATTTTGTTGGTTCATGTTGTGTAGCAGGTCTCGGTTTTGCTTAAACTTGTTAACTGCTGTAAAAGTGCAAAGTTGAGCGAGTAAGCCACTTTAGTGACAGGATCTCACAGGTCTCCTCAAGGGCCAAGCTTAGCTCAATAAGATTCGATGCCCCCACCAAGCCAGACCGCGCCTAAAATTCTTGACCAGTTGCCCAAAACGTCACCAGAATTGGAAGACTGTACACTTTCCGACGATGCTGTTGCGGCGATTGGACTGTCAGCAGTTGCATGATCCGCGGATCGGATCTCCCACAGAAACAAAATCTTTCTAGGAAACAAGTTTAAGTAAAATCCGACGTCTTACTTCTGGAGAGGAATGTCCGGAATTACTCCTGAGGAGCTACTACTCTTTTCGGCTTTTAATTTCTCACAGGTCGACTACAATCCGTTTCACACTCGCTTTACCCGTGGTTTTCATGATTTTGCCAAAACTAATCAAATCTTTAAATCGACAATGCATTTTCATCAATTGAAAACGATGTTTTCAGCGCAATCTACGGATTCTCTTCGATTGAATTTTGATAGGAGGCAGGCTTATAACCATAGTTAGCTCCAGCTCCCTCAAGATTCTACCTAGGTAAGTCTTGAATTTGTCCCGTTTCGTTACTGGTTCATTGCTGAGATGGATTTAATGTAAGTGTCGGTCAGCGAGTTTCACGTAGGCGGCGAAAGTCGCAAAAAAGCAGCATAAGCAAATGCTCGCATAATCTGTCAAACCGCGGCAAAGCGCTCCTCTCCCATTCCCTTTTCCTTCGCTACCTTCCTTCTTCTCTTCCCTCCATTCTATCTTCCCCTCCTTCTTGCATTCTCCCTTCATACAGGCTGCGCAGTAGATTCCATGAGAGCAATACCTCTGGATCGACTAATACCTTCTGACTGCATCACATGTTGGTTGAAGCAGTCTGTCAACCGATGTTCCCTCGCAGTGAGGTCGCAGAGGAGTTTCCCTGATCGGACATCTTCTGTTCGAGCATTTAAAGGAAGGGAAATCATGAAGCAGGATGGGAGAAGGAAGGAAGAAAAAGGAAGGAAGGAGGAAGAAAAAAGGAAGGAGGAAGGCTCCACGGTTGACAAATATCCTGAGACCTCCCTCGTGCTAGGACTGAATCGTTGTAACAGGAAAGTGCTACAGTATACCGGGACAAGCCAGGACATGAAATCAAGGGCACCAAATTTCTTGCTCAAAAATGACACCTCTCCTGCAATTCTTTCGCTTCGGTAGAGAAGCCCTAATCGTACGACGTGCCCCGATTATTATATTTAAGGTTGACTGGCGCGTCACCGTAACGCTGATCCCCTAACCGACGAAAAGTCCTTTTCTATCATTGTGATGGGGGAGTATGCAGTGTCGAGCTAGTCCCCTCCCCCCTTCAAAGTTCCCCGCGGGTGCGACGCTCCTCATAATCTATTACGCAGTTTACCCAATTCCTCAATTCGCGTCTAGTTTTTCAGACATTTTCAAATTTTTTCCAAAATTCTCTCCGCGTTGCCGAGCTTGCTGCACAGACTTATTTTTTTGTGAATCGTTTGACTTTTTCTTTTAGGCCGCAACACTTACCGTACGTTACTCCAGTGGAAGTCTGGATAAACGGCTTCGATTTACTAATATTTTCGAGTTATTGTAACGAGAGAGTTTGATTTCCAGATGCGTGGTCCAGTCGCCTCGGTATTTATTTCGATCGGTGTGGTCTTTCTGGCGACGGTGGTTTGCTTGTTGGGAGTGCTATGGGTGGCTATGGAAATCTACGATTTCCACAATGGTGCTATCCGAGAGCTTAACGAAGTTAAGGCGAGTTGGTTTTCGTGCACCGGTGCGCACAGATCATCACGCTATCTGTAGATTTTCGTTATCAAGAGCTGGGAGATGAGTGTTACTTACAACACGCTTAGAACGAATTTCACGTTCGTTTAGTTATTAGCAAATGATTGAAAAAGGCGCTTTTTCCACAATCGTCGTGTGGGCGGGCTAGACTCACCACTGTGTATTCCTCATTGACGCGTTCATTCTTTGCAAGCGGTGAGGAGAAGGAACACGATCCTAATGGACAGCGCAATGGTTGACCCGTCTCGGCCCAGATAACGAGTACGGAATTAGCCTTTAATACTACAATGAACCAGGTGAATGTTCGGTTTGGAGGGGGCAGCTTTCCAGTTCGCTAGTTTTTCGTATGAGTGACTGCCAAATTACATGTCTCAATGGAAACCACAGAATGCCCCTACCAAACCGGATTGCCCCTCCATATCTGTTTTATTTCAGGTCCAAGCAGATACAGCGTGGCGTCTAATGGTTCCATATCAACACTACCATCTTCGAAGGCGAAGAAATCTGGCTCCAGTGCCGTATCACACTTATCACGTCTGTGATTGCGCGGCACAGTCGAGGCTTTGTCCACCTGGCCCCAACGGACCTCCAGGTTCGCCAGGAGTCGATGGTGAACCCGGACTCGACGGATTACCCGGTCATGCAGGCGATCACTACCCGATCCTACTACATGGCTTCGATTGCGTTCAGTGTCCTGCCGGCATGCCTGGTGAACAAGGACCAGATGGACCGAGTGGACCACCAGGGCCCCGTGGGCCGGCAGGAGCGCCTGGCGTGCCCGGTCGCAATGGAGAACGTGGACCACAAGGACCTCCAGGTGACCCAGGACCACCTGGTCAACCAGGTAAGAACTCACCACCGGGACCACCAGGAGTAGGTGCTTTACACTTCGTAGGGCTTCCTGGAGAGCCAGGACCGAAAGGTCAGGCTGGAGAGCCTGGATCGCCAGGACAAGCAGGGGAATGTGGTGAACCTGGTCCACCTGGTCCACCTGGACCACCAGGCCCTCCTGGAAAACCCGGAACCGATGGATTTAACGGACCACCTGGAGCGGATGGTATGGAAGGCATTCGTGGCTACGATGCCTTCTATTGTTTATGTCCAAAAAGGAGCATTTACCTTGATAGGGAAGTAAAGTAGGTTCCAGTGAATTTTGTGCTAGTTCTATTAGTCATGTTCGGTTCTGCAATAAAGTTCAAGGGTTGTTTACGTTGTTTACTACAAAAACAGCTTCATTTGATTACCTTACACAAGTCAGAATTTGATCGTGACATTGTCCTGAACAGTGGAGTAACATGGCCATATCTAAAAACGTGTTGTTTGCGCTCCATTCCGATCCCTGGGAGGAAATTCCCTTGAACAGGCCGCTCGGGAGCGTCGGTGGTGCAAACCGGCGCCATTCCATATCTCTCGCCCCATAAATCGGGCCAAAAACCTTTGCGACGTATAGCTGGCCATTACGTGGGTGATGTGGCTTTTCGTGGAAACCGAATTTTCTTCGAGCTCGATGAGAAACTTGGCAATCTAAGTGGGGGAAGTATCGTCCGGCTCTAGGAAACTTCACTTTATAGGTATTATACAAGGGGGTGAACCAATCTGTCGAGGGGTGTGGGAAAGACGCCTCAAACTGAAGCAGGGACGCTTTTGCCGTTGGCGAAAATTCTGTG